CAGGAAGCAGCGATCAATGGTTCTCTCTCATCATTGAAATTTCTCTCTCTCCCTCCCTCTCCCTTCCTCTCTGAAATCAATTTTTTAAAGTACTTAAAAAATGTTACAATTTAATTTGGGAAATAAGTACCTGTGAGAAACTAGTAATGCAGGCCAACTGACAAGTTACCAATTAAGAGGCTCAGCCATTAAGTATTTAAAGGGAGGGAAAAGCACTGTGAAGACCTGAGCTGGCTCTTAAGTTCAAATGATTCAGACCTCCCGGGTGTGAATCTGCATGGGTCAAGTTTTGGCGTAAAGTGTTTCTGGGACTCTTACCTGACCCGAGGCAGATCAATATTGGCACGCAGTGCTACTATTTTTAAAATATATATTTTTATTGATTTCAGAGAGGAAGGAGAGATGGGAACATCAATGATGAGAGAGACTCTTTGATTTGGTGGCCTCCTGCAAGCCCCCCACTGGGAATTGAACCCACAACACCACATGTGCCCTTGACTGGAATCGAACTGGAGCCCTAGCTGGTTTGGCTCAGTGGATATAGGGGTCCCAGATTTGATTCTGATCAAAGGTACAAGCCTGGGTTCGATCCCCTGCGGGGGCTGCAGGAGGCAGCTGATCCATAATTCTCTCTCATCACTGATGTTTTTCTCTCTCTTTTTCCCTTCCTCTGTGAAATCAATAAAATATACTGAAAAAAAAAAGAAAAAAGAAAAGAAAAAAAGAAAAGTAACTAGAAGTGCCGTTAAAGGTTCTTTGAGCATGAGAATGACTCAAATGGGTCTTTGGGGACAGGAAGGCAATGACACTGGGTCAAGATAGCAGGTAGCAGGGCAGGGCAGGAGTCCAGTGAAGAGACTCCTGAAACAACCAAGGTCTGACACAAACACATCTGGACACAAAGGGGAGATGTGCCCTGATGCAGTGAGGAGAAAGCGGGAGGACTTGGTGACTTGCTGGCAGATGAAGGCAAGAGAAAACTGAGCCCAGGTGACTAACAGTGTCAGTTCTGAGAGATTAGGAGAAAGGCAGTGCCACTGATCCGAACCCAAAAGTCAAAGTGGAAAGACTGGTTTTGATGGAGAAAAAAAATGTTTGTATTCAGGAAGGTTTCTTTTGTGTCCAGCCAGGGAGATGGAAACACAGTTTACTGAATCTCTGGGAAAAGTTGAAACTAAAGATATAAATTTGGGCTGAACCCAGGTTCGATTCTGGTCAAGGGCATGTACCTTGGTTGTGGGCACATCCCCAGTAGGGGGTGTGCAAGAGGCAGCTGATAGATGTTTCTCTCTCATCAATGTTTCTAATGCTCTATCCCTCTCTTCCTCTCTGTGAAAAATCAATAAAATATATTTTTTAAAAAGATATAAATTTGGTAGAGTCCAGCCACATGGCTCAGCGGTTGAGTGTTGACCCATGAACCAGGAGATCCCAGTTCAATTCCTGGTAGGGACACTTGCCCAGGTTTCGGGCTCGATCCCCATGTGTGGGGCATGAAGGAGGCAGCCGATCAATGATTGTCTCTCATCATTGATGTTTCTATCTCTCTCTCACTCTCCCTTCCTCTCTGAAATCAATATATGTATATATATTCAATATCATCTTTACAAAAATCCTTGGTAGGGACCTTACTATTTCTTTCCTCCTGGAATGTTCTTCTGTTCCTTCTCTACGTGACAAATACCTACTACGGTCACTGTTACTGTTTGTTGAATTGCCTGGAGAAAGAAGCCAAAGGGTGAGGGCTACGCCTCCTAAAACAGCGCTCAGCAGGACAAGTCAGGTGGGCAGGGGCCCTGGCACTCACCATTCCAAGGTGGAGGCTTCCAGTGGGCTGTTTCCTTGGTGGGGTACATGACCGCTCCCCCAAACTGCTCTGCCCACTCCACATCTGGCTGCCACTGCCGGGCACCTCTACGGAGTTCAAGGCACAGGCTGAACAGTGATTGGTCCCCGTTCCATCCACCCTCGGGGGGCAGACCCCGGGAAGGAGCCTGGACCCTCAGTGCCAAGTGCCTGACACGGGCTCCAGCAGCTTTGGCAGAACCAGCTGCACCCCCAGACGTCCTAGCCCCCTAACAGCTTATTCCAGAATCACTTCATCCCCCACCCTGCGCACCGAGGCGGGGATCCCAGCTCCTCCCGTCCGCGACCTTCAAGGTCAGCTGGGGAGATGGAGGACGCCTGCTGCCTCCTGGGCTCGGTCAGGTGAGCAGAGCGACGCACCGGCCAACCCGGGCTCGCCGTCGGTGTCCTCCTTTACTCCTTTCCCACGGGCACCGCTGGCACCCCACCCGTGACGGGGTTCGGGAGAGGCAGCAGAGACAAGGGGAAGGGGCACTAGCTCAACGTTGAGGGGCAGGGTCCCCCTCCACTTCATTTCACTGCTGGCCCAACGAGCTCGACACTTCTTTCCTCGGCCCGGGCGGACGCCGCGGCCCCTGGGGTCCGAGACGGCGGGCCTGGGCGGGGGTCACGGGTCCAGGTCACCCTTTCCTGGGGGCCCAATGGCCGTGGAATTCCCAGCCGCGGGGACAGCGCGGCGGGGGGACGCCCGGGTCTCACCTGCTGGGCTGCCCCTGCAGCCGGCCCCCGGCGCCGGGCCGCAGCAGCCGGGCCGCAGCGCCCCCGAGGCCGCGCACAGCCCTCAGCACCGCCATGTCTCCGCTGCAGACGGCCGAGGAGGCCGGGCGGAAGTCCCGCCTGAGCACCCCCGGAAGTTCCGCCTGCGCGCCCTTTGGCACACCGAGACCGCCATCTTGGAAGCTGGCGGGGTCGTCCACCCGAACTTGACCACATCCGGGTCTGCGCCTCGACCTCGCGGAGGCTTAAACGGGGACCGAGGAGGCTGTTCCCTCCGCTGCTACCGGCCTTTTGGCGGGAGCCCGGGCCTCGCGTCTCCCGCCTGGGCTGGTCCCCCGAAAGCCCGTCCGCGTCCATCGTCGCAGCGGCTCGGGGAGAAGTGGCCCGCGGGGCCGGGTCCCGGCACCAGGCCCGGGCGGCGAGCCCCGCGGTGGCGGGGGGCGGCCCCAGTGCAGACCCAGCGGGCGCTAGGGACGCCTCCGCCGCGTCGTTGCTGCCCCCGTCCTGGCGGAGCGGCCCCCGAGCGGCGGAGCCTGGGCGCAGGCCCCCACGGCCCCGGGGCCTGGCCACAGCCGCGGGGGGAGAGGGGTGCCTGCCCCGCCTCCCTCCGGGGCCGCGTGCTGAGGGTGCCCGCCGTGCCCGCTCCGTCCCGGGAGGAGCCGTGCCGGCTGCGGGGACGACTTGAGCTGGGACGGCGGCCCCGGGCCCGGACACTGCCTCCTTTGTGCCTCTCCCCGCTGCACCGAGACTAAGGCCCTTTGTCTCACCGCTTAGTCACCCCTTTGTCCTCGTCTCAGAATGGGGGTGGCAGGGGCAGTGCGGGCCTCTGGTGATGGCGCGTCCGGCCCGGCCCTGCTCCTAGGGTCAGGGCCTGGGGGGGTGGGGGGGGAGAACCATGGCACCAGGCAGGTACTCGCCACCTGAACAGGAAGGGAGGGTGAGGATGTGTGGGCACCGGAGGTGACGAGGCAGGGAATGGACAAGAAGGGGGTGGCCCTTCTCTGGGAAAGGGAAGGGAGGGGGCTGCACCCTGCTTCCTGGGGAAATCCTGGGGAAAGGAGGGGTGAACCCTGTGTCTGAACCCTTCCCCCGCCTTGGGCCCCCGAGAGACCTGCCCTGCCCAGGGACCTCTCCGCCTGGGGCCTGGGCTCCTGGGGGTGGCCCTGAAACTCACTGCCTCACTCGCCCCTTCCCTCTGGAACAAGTAAGGAAAGATGGTGGCGTGTGGCCAGGCCCTGGGTTGCAGGCTCAAACCCCAGTGCAGAGCGTGCAGGAGGCAGCTGAGCCCATAGCCCAGGGGTCGGCAAACTCAGTCAACAGAGCCAAGGATTGAAATTTATTTTGAGAGCCAAAAACCTGCTTCTGCACATGGGCCACCAAGTTTCAATCGTGACACGTCTGCACGTGGTATTTTGTGGAAGAGCCACACTCAAGGGGCCAAAGAGCTGCATGTGGCTCACGAGCCGCAGTTTGCCAACCACTGCCCTGGATGATTCTCATCATTGATGTTTCTATGTCTCTCCCTCTCCCTTTGTCTCTGAAATCAACAGAAACATTCTTTTAAACTTAAAAAAAATAAAAGCCCTAGCCCTGACTAGTTTGGCTCAGTGGATACAGCGTCAACCTGCGGACTCAAGGGTTTGATTTTGGTCAAGGGCATGTACCTTGGTTGCGGGCACATCCCCAGTAGGGGGTGCGCAGGGGTCAGCTGATCAATGATTCTCTTTCATCTAACTCTCTATCCCTCTCCCTTCCTCTCTGAAGAAAATCAATAAAAAATATTTTTAAAATGAGCCAAAACCGGTTTGGCTCAGTGGATAGAGCATCGGCCTATGGACTGAGGTCCCATGTTTGATTCCGGTCAAGGGCATGTACCTTGGTTTCAAGCACATCCCCAGTGGGGGGAGTGCAGGAAGCAGCTGATCGATGTTTCTCTCTCATCTATGTTTCTAATTCTATATCTCTCTCCCTTTCTCTCTGTGAAAATAAAATATATTTTAAAAATGAAATAAAAGCCCTAGCCTGTTTAGCTCAATGAACTGAATGGTCCTGGTTAGATTCTGTGTGGGAGGCAACAATGGATGTCTCTCTCATATCAATGTTTCTGTCTCTCCTCCCACTCTCTCTAAAAAAATATGGAACCCTAGCCAGTTTGGCTCAGTGGATAGAACATTGGCCTGCAAACTGAAAGGTCCCAGGTTTGACTCCGGTCAAGGGGCACATGCCTGGGTTGCGGGCTTGATCCATGATTCTCATCATAAATGTTTCTCTCTTTCTTCCTCTCTGAAATCAATAAAAATATATTTAAAAAGAAATAAAAATACCATTGGAAAAAATGTCATGTGTGAGGATGAACAAATAAAGATGACTGGATATTCCAGGACCCACTGGGGAGCCCGGCGAGGGTTCCCGCAGAGGGCCTGCACACTGCCTGTGTCCTGAGGGCCAGTCTCCCAGGCAGGGTGGCTGCCTGGTGAGAGTTGAGGGCAGTTGGGAGTGGGTAGGAGTGAGGCCAAAAGCCTGGGGGAAGCTACTGGGAGCCAGGCCAGGGAATGGGGAGGCAGGAAGTGGGGAGGGGAAGCCTGAGGGGGATGGAGGCGGAATGGCTGTTCCCAGCCCTGGGGGAGAGGGGGGGAACTCCGGAAGGGAGAGCCTGGAGGAGATAAGGGACGTCAGAAAAGAGGAGGTGCCACCCTGAGTCCCCCTTCTATAAAAGGAAAAGTGTAGCTTCTGCCTTGCCCCTTCCCCCTCCAGGTGCCCATTCTAAGCTGACTCAGCCTACCTTTGGGCAGTCACTTCCCTGACGCTGGATGCTGCGGCCCCATCTCCCTGCTTTCGGTACTCCAGCTGCTTGGTCCTGTCTTGCCAGTGTCAGGCCACTTCCTCTCTGCTCACCTCTGGGTGCTTCCTTCCCTGCCCCCACCCTTTCCGGCAGTTCACTCAGGCTGCTCAGCCCTGGAAGCCGTCTCTGGGAGCAGAGGGCAGCTGGGGGGGGGCCTGAGGAAAGGGGGCCAGAACCCTCCTGGGACCTAGGCCCTCGCTGTGCGTCAGCCAGGCCTTCCCTGACTTCCAGCCTCTGGGGGCCTGTCCACCAAACGGGGGAAGAGACTGAGAGCTGGCTGTAGGATTGGGGAAAGACATGTCATCAGCTGGCCCAGGGCCTGTGGCCCATCCCCCATCCGGCTGTTAGGGATCCCCCTCCCCTGGGCAAGTCCCATTTTTCTTTAAAGAAAAACAAAAACTAGGGTTTTTGGGAAAGAATGAGACACCATCTGAGTCCCACCATCAGCTGCTGGCTGAATGGCTTACAGCTCAGCCAATCACAGAGACCGGGGACACTTAAAAGAGCTGGCGGGGAGGTCTGCTAGGAACCTCAGGGAGACCCACAGGACAGACGGAGGCAGACAGACAGACCGAGGCCGAGGGAAGCAGGGTCTGGGGCCGGGAGAGGCAGGACGCGGGAGAGGAGGGTGTGCAGCAGCTGGCCACGAGGCACCGTTCTCAGGCCCAGGGTCGGTTTTCTCCATCTCCCGGAAGGCCCCCGGCCCCTGAGCCTCTGCTCTGACCCGCGGGAGCTCTCAGGCGGCAGTCCTCCCAGCTTCAGCATCCGCCATGTGCCCGACCGACCCGCTCTCCAGGAGGGGCTGGGCAGGCTGCTGGCTGTGGGGAGCCCCGTCCCGTCGGCTCCGCACCCTGCTCCTGCTGCTGGCCTCCCTCCTGCCCTCCGCCAGGCCAGCGAGCCCCCTCCCCCGGGAGGAGGAGATCGTGTTTCCAGAGAAGCTCAACGGCAGCGCCCTGCCTGGCTCGGGCACCCCCGCCAGGCTGTGGTACCGCTTGCCCGCCTTCGGGGAGATGCTGCTGTTAGAGCTGGAGCAAGACCCGGGCGTGCGGGTGGAGGGGCTGACGGTGCAGTACCTGGGCCCGGCGCCCGAGCTGCTGGGTGGGGCGGAGCCGGGCACGTACCTCACCGGCACCATCAACGGAGACCCCGAGTCGGTGGCATCTCTGCACTGGGACGAGGGAGCTCTGTTAGGGGTGCTGCAGTATCGGGGGACCGAACTCCACATCCAGCCCCTGGAGGGAGGGGTCCCTAATTCCGCTGGGGGGCCTGAGGCTCATGTCCTGCGACGGAAGAGTGCTGCCGGCGGCCAGGGCCCCATGTGCAGCGTCAAGGCGCCTCCCAAGAACCCCAAGCCCAGCCCCCGAAGAGCCAAGGTAGGTCCCCCACCCCCCTCCAGGGTGCCTGCAGCCCCTCCGCCTTACCTGCCCCACTGACCCAGGCCCCCCGCCCCGCCCACGTCCACGTCTGTCATTCTGCTGCCTCCCTCGCTTCGCTTCCCATGAGCCCTCTCAGCAGGTGCTGGCTGCTCCTTGCCTCACCCTCCTCCCAGCAGGGGCCTAAGAGGTGAGTGAGAGGCTCTGTGCTGGGAGTGCCCCCCAGCCCAGCCTGGCGTCCTGCTGCTCGGGCCCAGGTGAAGTCTCTCCTCAGGCTCTTGGCTCGATTCTTTCCTGTGCTCCAAATCCACGCTCCCACCACACACACAGAGACACAGACACAGACACACAAACACAGAGACACACACAGACACACACAGACACACACACATAGACATACACAGAGACACACAGACACACACACACAGACTCACACACACACAGACTCACAGACACACACACACAGACACACAGAGACACACACACACACACATAGAGACACACACACAGACACACACATAGACATACACAGAGACACACACAGACACACACACACAGACTCACAGACACACAGACACATAGACACACACACATAGAGACACACACAGAGAGACAAATACACACACATAGACATACACAGAGACACACACACAGACACACACAGACACACACACACAGACTCACACATAGACATACACAGAGACACACACACACACACACAGACTCACAGACACACATACACATGCAGAGAGAGACACACACACAAAGGAGTGAGAGTTGAGGCCCAAGGAATGGGCTCTGGCTTCTGATCTGCCTTCAGGATGGGCCCGGCAAACTGCAAGCGGGCAGGAGTGGCCGGAGGAGAGGCACTCCCACTGTGCCTGGCCAGTCCTCTTCCCACTGGGCCTGGCTGCCGGGCTGAGGCTCCCTCCTCCCCCTCCCTGCCCCCCTCCTCCCTCCTCCTCCTCTCTCCAGCTTTAATCCAGACCAGACCCGCCACGCTGAGATCTGGCCCAGCCCTGGGTGCTGACTGCATTGTTCCTCTAACCACTCAGGGCGACACGTCGCAGCCCAGCACTGCAGCCCGGCCGCAGGCAGGCCTGGGGCCCAGAGCCCTCCCAGAAGCAGCCCCAGCTGCTTTCCCCACCGTCCCAGGCAGCCCTGGGACGGCACCCTCCTCTCCATCGCCTAACCAACAGCAATTGCTCAGTCTGCACAAAAGCTCTGGGATTTGGGGCTGGAGGAGGGAACCAGCAAGCCAGGAAGCTTGTGGTGTGGTGTGTGGGACCCAGCCCGCTCTGCCCAGTTCCAGCCCGGAGGGTCTGGCCTGTGACGGGCGGCTTTTCAGGCCCTCCTCTCCTCTCTCTCCCAGCGCTTTGCTTCCCTGAGTAGATTTGTGGAGACCCTGGTGGTGGCGGACAGCACGATGGCAGCGTTTCATGGCGCAGGGCTGAAGCGCTACCTGCTCACAGTCATGGCCGCTGCGGCCAAGGCCTTCAAGCACCCGAGCATCCGCAACCCTGTCAGCCTGGTGGTGACACGGCTGGTGGTGCTGGGGCCAGGCCAGGAAGGGCCCCCGGTGGGGCCCAGTGCCGCCCAGACCCTGCACCACTTCTGTGCTTGGCAGCGAGGGCTCAACACCCCAGAGGACTCGGACCCAGATCACTTTGACACAGCCATTCTGTTTACCCGTCAGGTAGGCCCGTCAGCACCATGCGAACGGCACCTGCCCGAGCCTCTTAGTCTGGGTGGCAGCTCGGGACGCTGGTGCCGAGTCCTCACGCCTCTTCTGCGACCCCCCACAGGACCTGTGTGGGCTCTCCACCTGTGACACCCTGGGCATGGCCGACGTGGGCACCGTGTGCGACCCTGCTCGGAGCTGTGCTATCGTGGAGGATGACGGGCTCCAGTCGGCCTTCACTGCTGCTCACGAACTGGGTACTGGGTATGGGGTACTGGGTACTGGGTATGAGGTACGGGGTACGGGGTGAGGGCTGTGGTGTCTGGGATGGGTGAGAGAGGCGGCAGGGTGAGGTGCGGGGGCAAGGAGCTCACCAGGTGCAGATGGGGTCAAGTGTTCCTTCCTCCTCCGGGCCCAGGCCCAGGCCATCCTCCTCGCTCTCTGGTGTAGACACACACGTAGGTTTTCTATTTAGCTAGCTCATGGAAGCCTCTGTAACTGAGTGTGAGTGTATGTGTGTTCGTGTGAGAATGTGTATGCATGCAATGCATATATGCATGTGTTGTACATGTACGTGCATGTATGCGAGAGTGAGTGCATGTGCGTGTGAGAGTGTGTATATGTATGCATGCGTGTGAGTGGGTAGTGTGTGTGGAAACCTAGTATTACTGTGTGTATATGAGAATGTGTGTATGGGTGTGGCATAAGACAGGTGTGGGGGGTGAGTGTGTGCATGTGGGGAGCACAGCATTGAAAGGTGCTATTTAGGAGAGCTGGGGATGGGATGGTGGAACAGGGTTGGGAATGTTAGCTACAAGGGAAAGTAGGTAAGGAAGGACCCTGAGCATATTTTGGGGGGAAGGGGAAGCAGAGCTCTGGGGGGGGGGGCTACACACTGAGGAGCCCTCAGAGCATCAGAGGGGGGTGGGCCAGGCAGGACCATCCACAGCTGCAGCCAACTTTGTGAGGTGCCAGGGAGGGCACCCTTGACTCCAGCAGGGCCTCTGCTCCCATAGGCCACGTCTTCAACATGCTCCATGACAACTCAAAGCCGTGCGTGGGCCTCAACGGGCCTGGGAGCACCTCCCGCCATGTCATGGCTCCTGTGATGGCTCACGTGGATCCTGAGGAGCCCTGGTCCCCCTGCAGCGCCCGCTTCATCACGGACTTCCTAGACAACGGCTACGGTAGGCAGACCTCCCGCTGTCCCTGGTGCAATGCAGCCCTGCTCCCGCTGTGCTCTCTGCCACTCTGCGTGGCTGAGTGGACTCCCCCTGCAGCATGGGATGGGGCGAGAAATGCTGCCAAGGGAGGCACAGTTCCAATAGAACGAGACAGCCTGGGCAGGCTGCGGGGAAGGCAGCTGCCTGGCCACTGAGCCGTGCAAGCCCAGCAGGTGCCGCCCGGCAGGACTGTTGGCGGCTGCAGACTCAGCAGCTCTGCGGCTGGCCAGGGAGGCAGGCAGAGTGCCTGGTGTCCTGCGTCTGTTCTTTAGATGTGGGATGTGTGCTGACAGTTATGTTGCCTCTGTGCTGACCAGTGAGACAGGCCTGGTGATGGCAACTGCTCCTAGGTGTTGGCAGGGATGGAATGAGGTGGTTGGACAAGCAGTGAGCTGGTGCTCCTCACGCCGTAAGCAGCCAGCTACCTACAGCTTCGTGCAGGCCTAGGATGTGGGGCCCAGAGCCTTGGGCCCAGGAGCCCAGCCCTCGGTGGCGATCTCGAGGGACTGAGCCCATCCCTGAGCCCGCGGTCCTGCCCTCCCAGGGCACTGTCTCTTAGACAAGCCAGAGGCTCCCCTGCACCTGCCTGTGACTTTCCCTGGCAAAGACTATGACGCTGACCGCCAGTGCCAGCTGACCTTCGGGCCTGACTCACACCACTGTCCACAGCTGCCACCGCCCTGTGCTGCCCTCTGGTGCTCTGGTCATCTCAATGGTCACGCCATGTGCCAGACCAAGCATTCGCCCTGGGCCGACGGCACCCCGTGTGGGCCCGCACAGGCCTGTATGGGTGGCCGCTGCCTCCATGTGGACCAACTCCAGGACTTCAAGGTGCGGCAGCAGGCAGGGGCAGAGGCCTGGGCGGGGTGGCCTAGTGCCCAGGAGGGAGCAGGTTACCACCCTTCCCTTCTATGCGGCTGCAGGTCCCACAGGCCGGCGGCTGGGGTCCCTGGGGGTCCTGGGGCGGCTGCTCTCGGAGCTGCGGGGGCGGCGTCCAGTTCTCCTCCCGGGACTGCTCGCAGCCCATCCCCCGGAACGGCGGCAAGTACTGTGAGGGCCGCCGCACCCGCTTCCGATCCTGCAGCACGCAGGACTGCCCCGCAGGCTCAGGTGAGGATCCGGAAGGACCAGGCGGGGTGGGGAGCACTTTGGGAATCTAGGAAGTGCTGATGTCCCTGCAGAGGAGGGCAGTGTTTATCCTCCAGGACCTGCCCCGCCACTGCCCCCCCCCCAGAGAGGTGCCAGCTGGGGGATCTGAGGGGCCAGGTGCAGGGCTGGTGGGGGTGAGGGGCCAGGCCCTGACTGTGCCTATCGCCCTTACAGCACTGACCTTCCGAGAAGAGCAGTGTGCTGCCTACAACCACCGCCCCGACCTCTTCAAGAGCTTCCCTGGGCCCATGGACTGGGTCCCTCGCTACGCTGGTGTGGCTGCCCGTGACCAGTGCAAGCTCACCTGCCAGGCCCGGGCTCTGGGCTATTACTACGTGCTGGAGCCGCGGGTGAGCCGGGACACGGGCCTGTCTGCCCATACGCCCTCTGCCTTCTGCAGGCGCCTCCCTGCTGGCGTCCCAGGCCCGGCCGGCAGCCAGGTTCCCTGGGGCTGTCTGTTCATGGTGTTTGGAAAACAAACCCCAGCTCCAGACAACAGGCCCACAGGCCCACAGGGCAGTGCAGCCTGCCCCCGAACCCCTGCCCCTGCTCGGAGTAGGCAGGAGGCGAGCATGTGGCCTTCGGGGCAAGGCTCTGACCCTTTCCTATGGGCTCCCCTGCCAGATCCCAGTAGTGCTCCGTCAGCTCTTGGGCGGCCAGGCCTGCAGGAGACAGTGGTGCCTGCACTGGCTCTGTGGTAGGCCAGGGCTGGAGGCTGAAAACCCGAGTGCTCTCTGCCCTGTTCAGAATTCCTACAGGTTGGCTGCCCTCTAGCGGCCATCTGGGATGGTGCCCTCAAGGTTTAGGGCTTGGTATTGGGACCTAGTCATGACTTCCCATCGGGGTTCTCTAATGGCTGCAGCACCGAGCCTTTGGCCAGTTCCTAATCGGAGCCTCGGCGTCCAGCTCAGAGCCCTCCAATACACGTTTATAAGCACTTAGCGCAGAGCCCGGTTCTGAGAGGTGCTCTGAGGCGGTCACTCTGGGCCTCTCCCCACTCCATCCGCAGCCTCTCCCTCACGGGATGTAGGTCTCTTTTGGTTACCAACCTCCCTGAGCGTGGGAGGGACCCTTTGCATTCCTCCTTTTCTCCTCAGGTGGTAGATGGGACCCCCTGTTCCCCAGACAGCACCTCGGTCTGTGTTCAAGGCCGCTGCATCCATGCCGGCTGTGACCGTGTCATTGGCTCCAAAAGAAAATTTGACAAGTGCATGGTGTGCGGCGGGGACGGCTCTGGCTGCAGCAAGCAGTCTGGCTCCTTCAGAAAGTTCAGGTTCACCCACTATTTATTTCCTCTTTCTGCCTCTGGACACCCGGGGCCTGGGGATCAGATGTGAGCTCAGCACCTCCTCAGAGTCTAGTGAAGGAGACAATGAGCAAGGAGGCCGCATGTACCGCCTGTTCCATAGGCTCCCCGGGGACGGCTCCCTCCTGCAGTGACAGTGGGAGCTGAACCGCCACCCGAGGAATCCGACTTCAAAGGGCACCTAGTGTGGGGGCAGCGGTGGGAAGTCCAGAGGTCAAGGGTGGAGGCACATTCACAGGTACTGAGATCCAGGCTGGACACCACACATATGTCTAGGAAGACAGCCCTCCATACACACATACACACACTCAATACATGCACACGAACACACTAATACAGGCGCACACATGCACACTCACACTTGCATGTATGTACAAATATACACACACATGCACATAGATGCAAATATCAACACATGTGCTCTCACACATGCCAGGCACACAGAGAGATGGCACACACACAGCTCGGAGGGCTGAGGGGTTTGGGAAGATGCTGAGCTCATCTCTGCTCCTTCCACACAGGTACGGCTACAACAGCGTGGTCACCATTCCAGCCGGGGCCACCCACATCCTGGTGCGGCAGCAGGAGGCCCCAGGGGTGCGGGGCCTCTACCTGGCCCTGAGACTCCCCAACGGCTCCTACGCCCTCAATGGTGAATACACACTGACGCCCTCCTCCACCGACGTGGTGCTGCCAGGGCCTGTCAGCCTGCGCTACAGCGGGGCCACAGCAGCCGCCGAGACGCTGGCCGGCCACGGGCCCCTGGCCCAGCCCTTAACGCTGCAGGTCCTGATGGCCGGTGACCCCCAGAATGCCCGTGTCCGGTACAGTTTCTTCGTGCCCCTGCCGGCCCCTCCACCGCAGCCTGCTCCCCGGGACTGGCTGCACCGGAAGGCGCAGATCCTAGAGGTGCTGCGGCGGCGCCCCTGGACCGGCAAGAAATAGCCTCGCCTCCCGGCGCCCTGGCGCCGCCACACTGAGCGGGGAGAAGGGGCTTCGAAGGAGCCTCGTGCTGGACACGGGAGGAGGGTGTGCCCCCCAGCAAGGATGTGCAGGCCGGCCCTGCTGCTCCTGCCCTGGAGGCAGCCACGGCGTGTAAGGGCTGGGAGACAGTCTGGTCTAAACTGCCCCTCAGCCCTGAGGGGAGGCAGGGTGCCTGTTGTATTTATTTAGTATTTATTCACTTTTATTTAGCACCAAGGAAGGGGCTCTGTGGAAACTGCCCCTCTGCCCCTCATGGCCCCACTCTGGCCAGGAAATCTGGGGTGGGGTGATAAGCCCAGTGGTGAGCGTGCGCGTGTGCGCACGCACGTGTATGTGTGTGTGTATAAGAAGATGTGCGTGTGTCTGTGCATGAGGTGCAGCCTGCCCTGCCCTCCTTTCCTGAGAGCTATTTTCTGGGAAAGGACGCGGCGGGGGGGACAGGGCCTCAGGGGTCCGGGTTGCCATGTTTTTAAATGTAAATTGAATTCTGTTATTTATGTGCCCCCTTTGGAGTCAGACAGATACAGGCTGCACTCTGGCTCCACATCCTGAACACGTGTCCCCAATTGCCAATCATAACCCCTCCCGGAGGGCTGTGGCCGGGCGGGAGTGACATGAATAAAGAACCCTCTGCCCTGGGAACGCGCTGCTGCTGCTGCGACCACCTGCCTGTCTCCGCCCGCCCAGGGCCTCTGCAGTTCCCACAGTGAGGAAAGAAGCACTTGGCTCCAGCACAATAAGTGACTACGTGAAGGCGCCAAGATCCCAAGAACAGCGACGTGGACAAAACAAGCCTCAGCAGGGGAGCTCGTTGGGGCAGAAAGTGCTCTGGAGCAGGAGTTCGGGTCTGGCTTTGAGCGAGGTTCATCTTCTCAGAGTTGGGTAACTCCCGATGCTGAGCCTCAGGTTGCTCACGTGTGCAAGGGAGCTCACTGTACAGGTTCCCACGGTGTTCTAGGAACAGTGTGAGTTTTTCAGAACAGTGAAGGCCATACCCAGGCGAGAGGTTACCGTTATGACTATGGAGTGACAGGGCCCACACAATCAACCAGCGTAAGCCCAGATGGAATGGAATAAGAATGGAGTGTGGTTTGGTGGAAGGCAGGGGAGGGCCTGAGGCCACACTCCCTCGGGGGCAGAGGGTGCTGCTGGGCAGGGACTTGGCTCCAGCTGCTGTGCGGGAACAGGTGGGGAGGGGAAGGGTGGACCCTGCCAGCATTTGGAATCTCGCCTGTGGCACTGCTAGGGAAGGGGAGGGCCTCGTGGGGCGGTGGGAGGAGTTCCTGAGATGGGGGTGGCAGAGGTAAGCCCACAGCAGCTGGGGAGCTGGCTCTGGCAGGCTGGGGGGCTTGGGTAGCTGTGTGTCACACGGGTCAGCCCGTCCACCTCAGGCTGTGCCTCCGCGCCTGTGCTTTAGGCCGCCTTCCTGCCTCCTGGTCCTCAGCAGCCATGGGGACAGGGCACGCCCCTCTTCCTTCCAGCACACAGGGCCCCACTGCGGTGCTTGGCCCCTTCCCCACGCTGGGCCAGGCCCCAGGACTCAGCTGTTCCATCTGGTTAGCGAGGCTAGACCCCCGCTGTAGACCCCCGACCCCAGACGGGAGCCAGGGCTGAGGAGCTCACTGCTGCCAGGAGGCTGTGGACTAGGCTCCGGGAGGAGGAGCCGGTGGTGAGGAGGAGGGGGAGCCAGCTTGCTGGGTGTTGGGGTGAGTCAGGCCCGGCCCTGAGCACCGGGAACCCTGATGGCCCTTCCCACTCAGGGCCGGGCCCTCTTTGGAAATCACCATCCTGTGTGACTTTACCAGGAAGTAGGGCTCTGACTGGCACAAAGAAGTTTTTCCCAGAAAGGGCTGAGCCCCAGCTACTTCTGTGATTGGTGGGAGGAGAGAGGAGACACCATGGGCAGCTGGCCCTTAGTCCCAGAAGGCCTGACTCTCCTGGAGGGTCCCCCCACCTCCCTTCTCAGACTCAGGCTGGGCCTCTGAAGTCAGGGTCCAGCTCTTCTTGCTAGGGGTGGGGGTGCTTGCCCGCCTACAGGAGCCAAGCCAGCCCATCTCCTGGCCCAGCTGGAGGCCCACAGGGAGGGAGAGAGGATGCCCAGCGGCAGGGGGACAAGCCCGGGGCTCAGACAGAAGAGGATGTGCTGGAGGGGAAGACCGGGGCTGCTGAGCAGGGAGGGCTGTGCGGGGAGAGTCCACACGAGGTCAGACAAGCACGTGTGGGGAGGTGAGTGCGTCCGTGCTTGAGGTTGAAGCAATAATGGCCCATTCCTGACGCTCTTTCTGCCACTGCCAGTCTCTGCTTCTGTGGTTCGAGCAGAGGAGCCTGGGCGTTTGTCCAACCACTGCCGCTGTGGGTGCGGGGAGTGTTTCTGGGGGTGCTGTGGACCGGGCTACTCATTCCACAACCCTCCAACTCAGCCCATTTCTCAGTCTCCATAGAGTATTACAGTGTTTTGTTTTCTAAAACACAAGATGAACAGTTAGTGACAAAACCAGCATCTCATTCAGGGCAATGAAAGTGCAATCCAACATATTGACACTTTATTGGTTAAGAGGATGCTTCTGAGCCAATCAAATCGTCTCCCATTGACTGTTGCTGGGGAAAGCTAGTCACTGCCCAAAGCCTTGGCCAGCTGACAGCAAGGGAAGTCACCAGTTGTCAAAACCTCAGAAAAGGGGGGGAGGGGCCCCACCTTGGGAACAACTTCCCCAGAGAGGACCCTCCCCGGGAGGCCTCGGTGCCGCCTTTGGAGGGAAAGGCCGGGCAGGAGGTAGATTTCAGTCTCCCACAGCCTGGATGGCCAGCAGCAGGCCCTGCAAACGCTGTAAAATACAACACATGTGACACACATATCCAACTACATACAGACACACTAGCACATTCTCTTGATAACATAAATGAAAATAAGCTTTGAGGTGAAACCGGTTTGGCTCAGTGGGTAGAGCGTCGGCCTGCAGAGTGAAAGGTCCCAGGTTCGATTCCGGTCAAGGGCATATACCTTGGTTGCGGGCACATCCCCAGTAGGGGGTGTGCAGGAGGCAGCTGGTCGATGTCTCTCTTTCTCATCGATGTTTCTAACTCTCTATCCCTCTCTCTTCCTCTCTGTAAAAAATCAATAAAAAAATATATTTTAAAAAAAGAAAATAAGCTTTGAGAAGCAGGACATATGAGAATTTTGGCCTGAAAGTGGGTCTGAGGAAAATATATTTATTGACATAATTTCCTAAGTAGAATGGACTGTTTATCCCACTTATTTGTTCAACAGATAAGCCATTGGTTACAGAATGAAGTCAAATCATACTGTCACAGCATCTGGAAAGGGTGCAGGTTTTTGGAGTCAGACTGAATCCAAGCTTTGATGTGATCTTAAGTTGCTCCATCTTGGTGAGCCTCAGTTTCTCCAATGTAAAATGGATCTATTGCCCGCCTTAAGGAGAAGTCAGACTTCAGAACATACAATGGGAATACATGGCCCTGTGTTTGGCTTCTAGGAAGTGTCCTGCCTTGGGATTCCCTTCCCCTCCAATCTCTCTTTCCCTGGCCCCTCCCACTCCTGTATTAGCATGAGGAACAACAATTATACCAACTCTCAGGTCTGACCTACGAGCAGGATGGCTATTTTGTAGAATGTGTGTCCGAAGGTCTGGGTTCTATTCAGGGAAGACCTGGTCCCTGTCCTGAGTTCACAGTCTGGGAGCGGAGTTAGGTGGGACCTGTGTGGTGGGTACGTGGTAGAGCTTCCCCCAGCCCCCCCTGTGCTACACACACACACACACACACACACACACACACACACACACACAGAGGGGCACAGTGCACTCCTGCTACAGTGTTGCCTCCACTTCCAGAGTGATGCTGGCACTGGGCTTCTGGAGAGAAGGGGAGCTGGAGGAAGGAAGCAGTCTCACGGGCTCAGCTCCTAGTTTCTCTGTCCCACAAAGCCAGTGTGACATGAGAGCAGGCTCAAAGCTGGAGGTGAACTGATGCGCTGAGCAGGCCCCATCCGGGCGGAGATATTGGCGGACACAGTTGTAGACTTTGAAGTGTGCACCCACACGTGCTCCTGCTCCATCCCCTCGCCGCTGATTTTCCTTGAGAAATGGAATAGAGATTTAACTTATTTTAGGATTGTTATTTGTTTTCTTTTATTGTTTAAAGTATTACAAATAGTAGTACATATGTCTCCTTTTTTCCCCCCATTGACCCTCCCCCGGCCTCCCCTATCCCCTGGCACATGCCGCTACACCCCTCCCCCCCTTATTTTAAATTACCGTAGTTTGCTGCTACAAGGCTGGGTTTCTTCTACTGCGTTGGCATCTGTCATGAGGGGTCATGGGGCCTGGGATTTATTCAAAACAGAAAGGCAGAGGCTGTGGTGGACACCGGCACATTAGAATTGAAACGTCCAGAACGTGGCGACTCGCGATGAGAAGTCCTGGTGAAATGCAGTGGAGAGGAAGTTCTTGGAAAGAGGACGTAGGGCAGGTGTTGGAAGGTGGCAGTAGAGAGGGAGGACGGGAGGTGACAGGCAGCTTTACAGGAACAGCAATGATCTACGTCATCCTTTCCACGACACCGGCTCCTTAGAACCAGGCTCTGCCCTGGTCGGTGTGGCTCAGTTGGACAGAGTGTCGGCCTGTGGACTGAGGGCCCAGGTTTGATTCCAGTGAAGGGCACACGCCTGGGTTGTGGGCTCGATCCCCAGTGGGGGGTGTTCAGGAGGCAGCCGATCAATGATTCTCTCATTATTGATGTTTCTCTCTTTCTCCTTCTCTCCTCTCTGAAATCAATAAAAATATACTTAAAAAACATAAAGCGAAGTGAAGAAAAGGCAGTCCTGTATTTCCAAGACCTATTTCAGATTTTAAAACAAACAACCCCCCCCTCAAATAAAACAGGAGACTTTGGCTAGAAATAAATGATAAAGACTTATGTAAGGGTATAGTACTGGAGTTTGCAAAGTAGAAACAATACCCAGAATGTTCCAAAGGAGGAAGAAAAGTTCAGAGTTCTTATAGTGAAAAGTACACTCTTGAGAAGAACCAGCCCCGCGCTCAGCCTCTTCGCTGCTCTGGTGGCAGACAGTCCTCCGCGCGACCAGTGTCTGGACCGATAGGGTCAGGGAGCTCGGGTAAGCAAACGGGAGCAGTCTTTCTTTAATCCTTCAGGGATAGTCAGAGGGCTACCTGAAGGATTGATGTATAAACAGGCATTTTTGCAGGACTGGAAATTCAGACACAGGCTAGTTAGAACGAGGATAGAGTCATTTCCTCATGCCTCAGTCTACCTGACTAGTAATTTAGCACCTCTGCCCTCTGGTCTCACTAATAACACCTTACATTGCATAAGCTTCATCTCACTTAGTTTTCTACAGGAACCTCCTAAGTGGGGTCTCTGCTTCCAATTGTAAGCTTCCTAAAGTTCTGACCTTTGGCTGCTCGTCACAGCATTTCAATGGCTTCCTCCCGTCCTCAGGATAAAACCCAACTCCTGTAATGTGGTTTATGGAGTCTTTCGTTGTCTGGTATCTACTTACCAGCCAGTCCCATGTCTCACTATTCTCTTCACTCTGTTGTCCAGCTTTACTGATCCATTTTTAATTTCCCCAATCCTTAATTTCTCCCTCATTTCCAGGC